CAAATGAAAACAAGTTATTTCAAATGATTAAGAACAGAATATGATATACAGAATCAACGGTTTTTATGCAACATCCATTGATCATCCATCTATTTTAATTCTGGCCAAACAACCCGGGATATATGTCATCGTAGGAATGTACAAACCAACACATTTCTGTGGGGATATCTCACAACTTGTTCGTTCCACAAGAGATTTGACATGACGGAAACGGTAATCCTGAAATGTTGCTCCGTCAAGGCATCAGCTCTGATGAACGAGTCCTTCTCTTCTTGCAATTTTCGCTTCATAGCTGCTTTCCAGCACAAAATTGCAGCTTCAACCAAAAGTAGTAATACGCTGTACTTTGGGAGCCTCCTCAGAATCTTGTTGGGTAAAATGGGGTTTTTGGGATAAGTGCGCTCTTAACGCAAAATTCACTAGCTGCAATGTCATCAGTGGATTGCCCTCCAGAATGTCAATAGCGCCCAAAATAACTTCTTTGTCAATTTTTCGATTGTATGATCCACCTTTTCGCAAATTTTTATATCTCCCAAGTCGATCAATTGTATACGTAGTGTTCCAATTTCTTCCTAAACAGTCGGTCAAAGCAATATAATCTTCTCCACGCGCATGCGATTCGTTTAAAAAATTGTTTGTTTTATATTTGGCCATTTTGAGCGTGATTCAAATGGAATTTCACAATTTCAAATGAATTTATGAACACACATTGGAGCATGATTTATTTCTTGACGTTCAATTGAAAATACGGTTTGTTTAAAAGATGTCACTAACATTTCAATAGGTTCGAAATGGTGTGATATGAAATAATCTTATAATTCGTGAAAAAACTTTGTCAATTCATTTATATGTGCAACATTAATTTAAAAAAAAAACAGAAACTGAAAAATATTTTTTGCAATAAATACTAAAACATCTTTGAATCTATATCTTTAAATCTATATCTTTTTTCTGTATCTTTCTATATCTTTAGAATCTATATTTTTTTGGAAGAACAATTGCTAAATTGAAAACGATCATTTGCCTAACTGCATGAATGACAGATCATTTTATGTTGAATTTTGAAACAAAAAGTTCAAATTGGTTCGAAAAGCCAAAAAAGCACTATGAATTAATATGACACAAAAAACTTTCGTTCTCCTTAAGATTTCTTTTAAAGTTTTTAGGATAGAAATTGCTTCAGTATTGATTTTTTAAAATATAATTTTGGCATTACAGCAAAATGCATGTGAAATAAAAATGAACTATTAAAATGGTACCCATAAATATTTAGCTATGCCAGGAACTTGAAGCTCTAAACTTGAACTAAAAAGCTCTAAACAATTTTTTTTTGTAAATTAAGGAAGAAGAACAATTGATGGCATAAGCTCTTACATATTGAAATTTTTTTTCTTGGAAATAGCACAAAGAAATCATTTGTAATCAAGAGTGGATCTAGAATTTTCTCGAGATGGGAGATCGGTTTTTCAAAGAAAAGAACATTCCGTCGACCTTTTTATAGGTCATCCTAGTGAAATTTTCAAGCTCTCCCAAATCACCATGAAAATCGCTTTTTGCCAAAAATTTTGCCCCACAGGCAAAGCTTTAGAAAAATAAGGCAAAAATGACAACTTTAAGGTTTTCTTGCAGGAGTTTGGCCCAAAAAAATCCCTCTTTTTTGTCGCGCGCTCCCTTTCAAAATTAAAGTATATTAGTGCCAAATGTTCCAAATGAAAACTCTAAGGTGATCAGCGAAGACAAATTTTTCAGAACATATTACCAAAGATTGACCCTTTGGAGGGGGGAGAGCGTCAGCCTCCCCCCTCCCGTAAAACTTTTTTGACTGAGTAACCAAAAATACTGAGTTAATACTTGGTATAATTATTTGTAATCATCATAAACTTTACTAAAAAACTTCATGGAATCATGGAATTACTTGAAAATTTTTGAGAATACTTTTGACATGAATATTTCTGAACTATGATAATAAAACAATACATTAGTTGACTGAATCCAATTCGAATAAGGAAGCATGAAGCATCATCTATTTTTTTTGATATCCGAAAAGAAAGCAAGCTAAACTTGGGTTACATTTCAGCTTTTAGGTAGTCATTTCTGACCGAGTTTTCTTATAGCATATTGAAATTGCTTAAAATTTTTGAAATTTATGAAAAAAGTTTTCCTCAAATATGGAATAAACAATATGTGATAGTTATTGTGCTATTATCAATTAAAAGTGATTTGTTTTGGCTCAAAAACTAATTTTTACCTTGCTAGACGCTAACAGAATCAGTTTGTTGTTCCGAACAATTGAAAAATGTGGAGGATTTTTGTATTTGGGTGAGTTTCCTTTTTTCACTTTTAATTTTTGTTTTCCACGCAAAATCAGGTACAACAAAAATCATCAGGATGGCTGACTGATGGGCTAACTTTATTTGAATGAATGGTTAATCAAACTCTATAAAACAGAGCGTGTTTATTCAAAAATCAAGAGACAAAAAGAACGACGAGGCAAAACGAATAATTTATTAAAAAACAGCAGAAGATTTAAAAATAGAACGACAACTCTAAGATAAGCAAATCAACATGCTAGGACTATGACAAAAATGAAGGAAAAAATACAGTTTTCATGCAATATCTGATGACTTCCTCAAGTGAGAGATAAATAAGTCCAATGAAATATACTAATTTTTGGATTTAGTACAATCAATAGCGGATTTGGGGGGTTGGGCGGATGGAGGCGGACGCCACTTTGTTAGGATATTTGACCCTCTCCTGAACCAAAAGGTCAACCTTTGTGATAATTTAGGATATTCAATTTTGTTTGACTGACCCTAAAATTTTCCTAAAGGCACCTAAGTTGCCAATATAATATAAGTTGAAGAGCGCGCGCAATTTTTCTGTCATAGTTTTCAAAAAAGTGCTAAAAACGCCCTTTTTGGCCTGTTTTTCAAAAATTTGACAGTGGCGTAGAAAATTTGGACGAAAAAATCTTTATGGGGGTTTTAGAGAGCTTGGAAAATCAATTTAGTTGACAAAACTTTTGGGTTTTCTTTGAAAATCCCCACCCCCCTCGAGAAAATCTTAGATCCCTCCCTGATCTGCCAAAGGAGGAAAAATGCTACCGTTTCACGCCATGTCTTGACCACGCCATAAAACAGCTCGTTGTAAGGGTTTGAGTTTTAAATTGACCCTTTTTGAATCGATAGCGAGACGTAGACGACGAAATGCCCTTTCACGCACAACTAACGATAGTACATTGTACCATATCAAGCTTTGTCTTCTGATCTTGTTCAAAAATAAGGAAGATGAAAAAATCCAACTCGTTGATTGGGCCTTATCTTAGTGATCTACTCTTGATTCAGTGCTTTTGAGTTTGCCTTTTCAGCTGAGATTTGACAAATGATTTTGAAATGATTCGTTGTCGGTTGACCACATGATTACTGCGTGATAGCTCAACATCCTATTCTTATGTTGTTTCTATTCGAATTCCTTTCTTTGACTAAAACTTTTTGACTTAACGATAGAAGCAAGTAAATTTATTCACCAAATATGAATAGTTTTTGAAATGAATTTTAAAAAAAACCTCCATACATTTTTCTCAAGCGAAAAAACGGGGGTGCAAATGTTCTTTTTTAAAAATCATTTCGCAAAATCAATGGTTTTTTTGCTCATGCATTAATTTGTGGCTCCAGCGGAATCTATGCTGGACACTAAACTTGAACTAGCTGATATAGAATATGTAAGCCAATATGTACTAATTTTGAATTAGGAGAGGGGGGGGGGTAATGCCGAAAAACGCGCTGCAGAAGATTTGCTTATGATGCAGAAAATTTAGTCGAAATAGAGTCTTTATAGTAATTTTAGTAATTTGGTAGAGTTCAGAAAATCAAATCGGTCGACCTACAAAAATTGACAAAAGCTTTTTTCTAAATCTCCCACCGCGAGAAAATCCTTCATTGGCTCTTAGTACGATGTAGATATTTTGTCAATTTTCCCTTGTTTCGAATGAATGGTGCGTTTTCTGTATTTACGGGTTCTTTTAAGAGAAAGATGTACAAAACAAGTGGGTTTTCAGACTTGTTTCTGTACATGGCCAGAATTGAAGTATTTGATCCGTGGAAGAAACCTCAAAAAGATGAGATTCGCAAAAATTTGGCTCTTTTTTACGGATCATTCAAAGCGCATTCACCGATCAGGCTTATTTACGCCGAAAATGCCGCTTTTTCAAGCTTTAGCACGGATAGACTTCCTCAAACTTTGTTTTACCCTGGGTCAGTGGGTTTTGGGAGGGGTCCCCATTAGGAAAGTGGCCATTCTGACTACTCAGAGGGTCCCTCTTTTGGTGCTATTTCAGGGCATTCATTGTCGGCTGATCGACTCTGAATTTATTTCAGGAGCTTTTAGTGCCAATATAAACTAATTTCAAGGGGGGGGGGGGGAAGGGAGGAGAGCGCGACATGAAAAGACGAAAATTTAATTTTGTGGTATTGCAAAATGTGCTTCAAAAATTCCGTTAAAATCAAAAAATGAAAAAAGCGGGAGAACAAAAAAGGTAAAAACAAAAAATCCAATCCTTGCTCGGTTGGTTTAGGTTGGAATAAAATTTTTGTAGAATGGGCAGCAAAACCGAAACAATCAGTTCAGTCCACATTTGACCTTAACAGGTTCACTTTGAGAAATTATTTTTACAAAAAATTGAAAAACTAAGAAGAATTGAATAACCAGCCTATGAGACAATCTGATTTCTGACTGCTATTTTTGTCTGTAAAGAAATTGCATTTTTCCGCTGGGACAATTTTCTGATTAAAACTGACTTGATTTTAGCGATTGATAGTTGGGATAAGTGTTATTAAATGAGAGACTAAGTCAGCATTTAATAAATGGTCCCAGTAATTGGAAAAGTGCCCGCACCAAGACTCTTTCCCCAAAATATACCATTTACTTCATACCTCCATACCTTGACTGTCTCTAAAACTCTTCTCTCCTTATTTCATTTACTCTAGATTGCTTGATTCTGATTGGTTGCTACGAAATATTCAGTTTAAATGGTAACAATTGCAAATAAGAGAAAATAAAACAGAAGTCAACGGAAAAAGTCTGCGTGAACCTTAATAGTACACATACTAGCTAGAAAATTTAAAAAAAAACACTTCTTGGCGAGATGATTTGTTCCGTAGTTGAACATCATTACAGTATAAAATTTCGTTATTTTGGTGTTGAATGTTTCCTTAGTTTGATACTTTAAAGAACTCAGTTTACTATAGCATACTTCATTTAGGCTTCGAAAAAAGCCGTTATCTAAATTTCTTTACGCTATTTTCGATCAAATTAATAATATTTATTGCTAGGAAAAATTCATATAACTGAAATTATATGTAATGCAATATACCGAAATTTTTGTTTAGCTCACTTTGTTAATTTCATTAAAAATTTTGAAAATGACGGAGTTTTTATTTGGGAACGACTCTTTGTCAATGTGTACCGACTTTATATCAGAAATTCTAGGTTTTTTTAAATTCTGCCAATTTCTAGGTTTTCTATTAATTGTTTTAGTTTCCGTGGTCGGCAATTTCGTAGTTATAAAAACCATTTTAACCGACCGAGAAATGCGCAAAGTTTACTGCAACATTTTTATCATTAATTTAGCACTTTGCGACATAGTGCAAGCTACTGTAGGAATGCCACCTATGGCTTCAGTTTTGATTTTCGATAAAAAATGGATCCTGTCTTTTGATTTCTTACCCGATTTGCCCTGTCAACTGGCCAAATCGCTGAACAAAATAGTGCCAGCTGTGGCCAGTTACACCAATGTGGTGATAGCGGTTGACAGACTTGTGGGGGTTTTGAGACCCTTTCGGGCTAAAATTCCCCGCTCGTACGCACTGGGGTTGATGGGGTTGACTTGGATGGTGTGCTGTGGGTTCGGAGTGTTCGACTTCCTGAAGAGTTTTGTGATTTCAGTGCCCTCCCAGGAAGGTACCTGCTACCATAACTTCTGCTACTCAGACATCACCACCCAACAATTCAACATGTAAGACCTTTTAAACGCTCAATCTTTTTAAAACTAATTAACAAAAACTTTTTTCATTAGAAATCGAGATTAAATAGGGAAGTTTTATGAATCATTTCTTAAATGTGCTAAGAGAAAGACAGTTCACTCCAAAAAAAAGAAGCGAAAAGAAAGTAGTAAGAAACAAAAATTTCAGATCCTTTTTGTTATTGACATAAGCACCGATTCCAAGGAGGCACTATTGATTGTGGTTGTTTTTTTTTCACATCAATTGCCGACATCCAATTACTGCAAACAAAAGTAGTGTTTCAGTGAACTTTATATGTGATTACTTCGCGATAGCTGAAACAACTGATTCTTTGGTAGCTTGCATCAAGAGTGGTTATTTTGGTTATAAGTGACTGCCCATAGTCGAGCCGACCCCTTTAATCTTCGATCAAAAAAAGGACAATGAAGGTTGTTTGAAAATGTGACACACTGTGATATAAATCATGCCCATTGATATCGTACTGCCAACCAGGGGCGGATGATTTGGCGGGGAGCGGGGTGCCTCCTCCCTCAGGGATTCGACACCCGGCCGACCTAAAGGGTAACCCCTTTGTTCTCTTTTGAGGTATCCAAAAAACTTGGCTAACTGACCCTAAATTTTATAAAAGGCACCTAAGGCGCCAAATTTTTCTGAAATCAATGAGGAGCGCGGAAACAACGCGATTTTTTGGGCCAACATTTTCAAAAAAGTGCCTGAAAACGTTCTTTTGGCCTGTTTTTCAAAAATTTTCCAGCGGCGCAGAAAACTTGACCAAAAATTTCTTTAAGGTGATTTGGCAGAGCTTGAAAAAACAATTTGGATGGCCTTCTTTCTCGAGAAAATCTTAGATCCCTCCCTGATCTGCCAAAGGAGGAAAAATGCTACCGTTTCACGCCATGTCTTGACCACGCCATAAAACAGCTCGTTATAAGGGTTTGAGTTTTAAATTGACCCTTTTTGAATCGATAGCGAGACGTAGACGACGAAATGCCCTTTCACGCACAACTAACGATAGTACATTGTACCATATCAAGCTTTGTCTTCTGATCTTGTTCAAAAATAAGGAAGATGAAAAAATCCAACTCGTTGATTGGGCCTTATCTTAGTGATCTACTCTTGATTCAGTGCTTTTGAGTTTGCCTTTTCAGCTGAGGTTTGACAAATGATTTTGAATTGATTGGTTGTCGGTTGACCACATGATTACTGCGCGATAGCTCAAACAGCTTATTTTGCGGTTGGTTTGAACTAAGAGTGTGTAGATTATGTAAACTATTACATAAGAATGCACTGTTGTCAAGAATGTTATATCAAAATGCACTGTTGTCAAATTTCAACCCACAACTTTCAACCCAAAAAATCCAAAATTTTCTATCGGAGTATGCTTTCAACGGCTGAAAATATTAGTTGAGTACGATTTCCACTCATTCAAACAGTTTCAGTTGTGGGTTAAAACTAGCTGTAAAAATTTACTTCGTGAAAACTTGCCGCAAAATTTATTTCAAACTATAGTTTAACTTTCCAAAAAGTGATTAAAACGTTAGGTTAGGTGACTATCAGAGTATAATTATTCAACATCATTACCAAATGTCTGTCACCCAATTTGTGAGTTTTGAAATCATAATTTAAACGCGAATTGTACATTTGATTCAGAAAATCAAGCAAAACATTTTGGCTCTTATGTTGTAAAAAAAGCGACTGACGAATTTGCTTAAAAATAAATAGAAATTTTTTTTTGCGGTTATTGTTTGCTGTTAAGTTTTTTTGATTTAAAAAATGGCGGTAGAAAAAAAATTGAAAAAAACTTACTAAATTTTCATGGTTTATTCTTCTATTATACGCCTGCTTGTTGGCTTTAATTGCTCAAAATTATACCAAACTCGAAAATTTCCAACCGGTTTTTCCTGGACACTAAGAAAAAAGTTTCAAAAATTTTTATGCTGTTCCAATCACAACTGGAAAATTTTAATATGATGTATAATTTAATCCAATTTCATGATATTGTTTTTAGAACTTGATTTTGAGTGGCAAAAAATTTAAAAAATAAAACACCCGAATACAGAGTTTCTCCACGTTTTTAAAAAGGTCGGAATAAAAACTGTCACATGTTAGATCACACTATTTTATTTTATATTTTATTTTAAGATTTTGGCGCACTTATCCCGGCCTCTTGTCAAGAAACGTGCTCAATGAAAACAGCGAAAAACAAAAAAGTAGCCCAAGTAATAGTTAGAGCACTCATTTAAGTTGCACTGAATTGATAGTGCACGCTTGAGACGGCGCACAGACAATTCGGCCAAAGACAATTCAGCCAATTTGAAATTCAGACAATTCAGCCAGAAATCTGAAGACAATTAAGCCTGAGACAATTCAGCCAGTTTTACAAAACGCTAGATTAGGGAAAAAAATGGTAATTGGAGTTATTTCTCAGTTTAAGGTCACCGGCTCTAAATTTCGTAAGAGTTCTACCCTCTGTTGGCAAGCTCGCACGTTGGCGCGACTGCGGTGGTCACTATTATTGGCTGAATTGTCTTTGGCTGAATTGTCTGCATAATTTCGGCTGAATTTTCTGAATTTCAAATCGGCTGAATTGTCTGGACGCGCTTGAGACATATCAAGGCCGCTGGACAAGGTTTTTGTCAAATGCTAGCACTATCAATTAGTTCAATATGAAAGAGTTCTTTAGCTGTTTCAGAACGCTAATTAAAAGAACGCTTGAACGCTATTGTTCTAACTATTTCCGAGAAGTTATCAGGCACATGGATGAATTATACTATTTGTTTTTCATGCCCATTAAAAATAAATGTTAATTGTACCAAGACCATATCAACTCGACGCGGATGTTAACCTAGATATAACTTGGGTTACCAATTTGTGAATGTCAACTTCATCTTACCGTTTCTGTTCAGATATACTTTCTAAACTTATCTTATAACATTTCCTGTCAATCTGCATTAAAAATTAGGAGTAATTATATCAACTCCAATCAATTTACAACCAAAATATAGAATAACTTCACTTTTTTCTGACTTCTACTGCTGAATACCTTTACCTTTGCAATCAATTTTGTAATTATAGCCATGTCTTTTTAACTGGAAAAATTTAAAATGCACATAAAAAGAACAGATGCTATAAGATGATAAGCAAAAAAATTATGATTTCGAATTGTCTTTTTAGAATTTTATTACAAAATTGACCGATTCCTATAATTTTGTCGGCCTTTGCATTAGGCTGGCCAAACTAAGTCAGAAAAGTTTTTTTTTCTAGCTTACCCAATGCACTCTGAATGCCCAGTTTTGCTAAAACTTTTAAAGGCACACTTTTCAACAAATTAAGCAAAAACTGACTCAATCTTTCGTTTGGTGAGGATTTATTTTGATTTTCTAAGCCTACGTTTTCCCTGAATGTTTATCGTGTTTAAGCGTTAGTGCTGCTTTCAGATATTTTTTGGTTTGCTGACCAAAAAATGTCTTGAAATAGTGCTAAAGAGACCTTTTCAGTGTTGCAAGGGCCAAATCCATGAGGAAGCTAGGGGGTTACGGTCGCAACTGTATTTGAGCTGAACAGACAACAAGCAAAACACTGGCGTTTTTAAATGTCAAATGACAAGTGAAATCAATTTGATGCAAATCACTTAGGACAATTGGAGTTAGAGTTTTCCCGCACCGGAGTTCCATGGATAACAATCGATTATTATGGAAAATTGTTGTCTAAAATCTTGTGATTATAATTCATTATTGTTGCAAATTTAGACCACGAAATCGATTATATTGTCTTTTTAATCGATTATTTTTGTAAAAAACAATCCATTAAAATCCATTATAATGGATTATACTCTATTTAAAATCCTTTATAATGGTTTATAAACCATTTAAAATCCATTATAAAAGATTATAACGGATTATAATCTATACATTTTTTTGCAAAATCATTTGCAAAACTTGCAACATTTCTGCGTTACTCACGGTCTACTCGCAATCTAAACCTACTCGAATTAACCCCCCCCCCCCCCCACACACACACACACAAACACACACACACACACACACACACACACTTTGCCCCCCATCCGCATTTGGCCAAACCCCTCCCCCCACTCCCCTACGTTTATTCCTACGCCCACCCCCATGTTTACTAAAGTTTATCTCCTCAAGTTTAAAGTTTACCCATTACCCCCCCCCCCCCACCCCTAGTTTGTTTACCATTTTGAACGAGGACGGGGGAGGGAGTATACTCAGTTGTTCAGGTCACCCTCCCCCCACATTTTTACCCCTCCCCCTCCCGACCCGACGTTCAGTAAATGGGGGGGGGGGGGTTTAAACTAAGATGGGGGGGTAAATTGGGGAGGGTTAAATTGGGGGGAGGGGAGGGGGGAGGGGTAACAGGGGAGGGGGTAAACGGGGTATATAAGACAAAAATTATTATAAAAATTGAAAAGTGAAATTTAAAATTTTATGAAACCTAATACGTAGCAACTGCACTAAACAGGAAATGCGATAACTTTGAGAAAAATTTGCAGATTTCATGACTCACCTCTCGAAAAAGTCCATTGTTTTTGATTATAACCGATTATAAGGGATTATATTGGCATAAAAAATATAAGAAATAAAATCCATTTTTAAAGGATTATAATCGATTATAATGGATTATATTGATAAAAAAAATAGTGCATTATAATCCATTTTTGATGGATTATAATCAATTATTTTCGTAATTTTTTAGATACTGACTATAAATAGAATGACAATATAATCGAGTGCTGGTTGTGCTTAAGATCAAAAAACTGTTTCAGCATTTTTATAGCAACAATTTCCTATTATTCAAATCAACCAGCTTGAAAAAGTTCTCTATGGATATATAGTTTACTGCTAAAAAATTACTAAAAGAAGCAGCAAAATTTCTAAATCTGAAAAAAGTAGTATTTTAGATTTTTTGTCATTTTCTTGAAAATTTTTTCATGTAATTCTTATCGAGTTAATCCTTCACTGGAGATTCA